CTGGACAAATGCCACAAATACCATCGGTAGGGCTGGGGAGAGGGCTCAATGGGTAAGTGCCTGCTCCTCAAGCATGAGGACCTGAGTTCAGATCCCTGGGACCTATGTAAAAAGTCAGGCACCAGGGCTGGAGAGATGGCTCGGTGGTTAAGAGCACTGGCTGATCTTGCAGAGGACCAGGGTTTGATTCCCAGTACCCACATGGTGGCTAACAACCACTCCAGTTCCAGGAGAATTCGACACCCTCTTCTGACCTCTGTGGGCATTGCACAATATGGGTATACTTACACACATGCAGGCAATACACTCATACACATAAAATTAATAATAATAATAATAATAATAGTAATAATAATAATAATGGGGCTAGAGAGATGGCTTAGCGGTTAAAAGCACTGACTGCTGTTGCAGAGGTCCTGGGTTTGTAAAAGCCAAGGACTATGGTGCACTTCTGTAACCAGCACTGGAGAGGCAGAGACAGAGAGATGCCTGGAGCTTTCTGGAAAACCAACTTAGCTCAATCAGTGAGCTCCAGATTCAGTGAGCGACCCTGAAAATAAGGTGGGGAACAATCGAGAAAGGTGCCCAATATCAACCTCTGAACTCCTCAAGGACAAATAGACAGACAGACAGACACACACACACAATTGTGCCTAGAGACACAGACACAAGATGTCAAATGGTATAGGGGTATGACCTAGATTAGAAATTTTATAAGCCTAGTGTGGTGGTGCAGTCCCATAATTCTAACACTTGGAGGTGGTGGCTGGAGGATCAGGAGTTCAAGGCAAGCTTTGACTACTTAGTGAGCTTCAGACCAGCCTGAGCTACATGAGAAAAAAAAGAACTTTACAAAACTTCAAAGGTAGGGGAGATTGTTACACAATTTCAAGCAGAAATTTAAGAGTATAGCCATGTTCTAGCTATTCCAAGTGACTACTTCAAAGCAGTTATTAACTTTGAAGGCAGCTGGTAAAACCTGTACTGACAAGTTCTAAACACTTATTTATTTCTCACCCCAATCTCTCAACTGTCACCCACACGGTTACTCTACTCTGCCTTCATAAAATTATTTCCTCCCTCTCGTACATTAAGTACCTGTATTCTGGTCACAACTACTCATTGCTTTGTTCACTGGACACCAGGACCCCCTTCCCTAAACTCTGACAATCATCATAACAACCACAGAGACAATGCTGGCAACACAGGTTTTCCTCAGACCCATTATAATAGCATCAAGACAGAGGGTCACTCTGATCAGAAGTCATCCACCCCTGCTAGGCCAGGACCAGCAAGAAGCAAGCAAGCCAGACTGGATGTTCTATACATCTCTCATCTGTAAGGAAGACTGCACAATGACAGACAGCATGAAGTTCCCAACACAGATCTTCCTGGTGACTGACCTTGGTGACTTTTCTGACATCTCTGGATCACGGCCTATTCCCTGACAAAATGCTGTGTGACAAGGACCCTGGAACAAGTGGAACATTAGGAAAAGTCTATGAATGGCTCATTGGTAAAGTACTTGCCATGCAAATATGAGGGCCTGTGTTCCATCTCCAGAACTATGTAAAATAAATACATAAACAAATAAATAAATAAAGCCAGGAACTTCAGTGTGCGCTTATAATCTCCACACCCCAGGGCTCACTGGCCACTTAGCCTGGCCTATTTGACAAGTGCCAGACCAATTAGAGGCCCAACCTCAAAAACCAAAAAGGTGGACCGGAACAACACTCAAGATTGTCCTCTAGCCTCCACATGCACTCACACAAATGCACACACATGCAGACACGTGCACACACGTGTACACGTGTCAGAGTGACATCAGGAAGGAATTCTGAGCAGCCATCCTTCTGGGACAAGCCCCTCGGCTGGGATCTCAGCATTTTCATACTTCTAAGCTGGCTGGGCACACAGCTGGTGGGTTCTTTTGAAACTAAGAAAACTGAATGGGAAGGGAGGAAAGCTGAGCTCCTCTCATCTCTTGGGGTCCTTTCCAGCTTCTCCCCAAGAATACTGTGGATGCACACCCATATGCACATGTTCTTTATAAAAATGTATACAAATGTGTGAATATGTAATGAGCACAGCATTCACACTTCTACACACAAAGCACTTAAAATGCACGCTGCTCAGGAGGAGATCCAAAGTCTGGAAGGTGTCTGTGCAGTGGAGCACATAGAGGCAGATGAACTCAAAGATGGGACCAAGGCTCTTGCCACCTCAGGTCACGTTAAATCCAATTGATGGGGAACTGGGGAGATGGCACAGGTGATAGAACACTTGCCTAGCAAGAATTTGACCCTACAACCCACATTTTAAAAAGCCAGGCAGGAACAGGGATATAATTCAGTGGGTAAAGCACTTGCTGTGCAAGCCTGTGGATCTGATTTAGATCCCCAGGGACCACATAAAGCCAGACACTGTGACACACATCTGTAATCCTGGTTCCCCTACAGAAGAGCTCCTTCATGGAGGCAGAGACAGGAGGATCTGTGGCCAGACAGCTAGGCATAAGCGCTGGAGAAAAACAAGACAACCTGTCTCAAACAAGGTGAAGGGCGAGGCCAACACCTGAGTTTGTCCTCTGACTTCCACATGCAGACCATGGCACACACACACCCACACTCACTCACACAAACATATACACACAATTTAAAAAAAAAATTAAAAGAAAAAACCAGGCACGGTGACCCAGGCTTGTAATCTCAGCGCTATGGAGGTGGAGCCCGGCAGACCATCACAGCTCACTGAACAGTCAGCCTAGCCTACTTGTCAGGTGCCAGACAAGTGAGAGATTCTGTCTCAAAAACAAAACAAAAACCACAAGGTGGACAACACCTGAGGAATGACAGTTGAGGGTTGTCCTCTGGCCTCCATGACATGTGCACACATGTGCACCTGGATATAAATTATGTGTACATGCATAAACACAGCTGCTGGCCTTTTGGATAGGTATAAAGCTCCAAGCCTTGGCTGTACACTCCTTTCTCCTACAGACCCCAGTCCCAAGTGTCCTCAAACCAGGAAGGCAGGCTGAAACAAGGACAGACAGGAAAGAAATTGCCCAAACCTGGTGTCTAACACTCAGCTGGGCTGCAGACAACAGCCAGGGACAGGGACTTCCTTCCCCCTTTTCTCTGTCCCTAAAATGGATATAGTTGCCACTGCCTCCCCTCTTCCCTGCTCTTGACCAAATGAACATTAAGTTGCTAAGAGAAGAAAACCAAATGGTCCTCTAGAAAGGGAAGCTTTGCTCTGATCCTAAACAGATTCACTGGGCAACCACAACAAAATGATTTAGAGGAATGAAGGGAAGCTGGGAAAATTCACAGAAGACAGGTGTGAAATGGTTTGACTTTCTTGGATGAAACAATTCTTGATCTGGCATCAGTGTTCAAAATGTGAGCCACACAAAACCAGGGTAGGAGGTCCCTCCATCTTAACAACGAACATCCCCCCAAACACACACACACACACACACACACACAGAGAGAGAGAGAGAGAGAGAGAGAGAGAGAGAGAGAGAGAGAGAGTCAGTTAATGAACTTCCTCACTACTCAGACCTTAGTAGCTCTTAATTAGATCGGACCTTAGACCTAAGTGTGTTTAGGGTTGCTACTTTCCCATCCTATCGGAAATCCCACACAAACCTCATTTTTTGTCTCTACCCAACTTTACAGCCCCAGAAGCTCCTGGGACCAGACACAAACAGCAAGCTGGGCCTGGCAGTCAGTGTCAGGAGTTGCAGGGCCCTAGACCTTGATGAGGGTATCTCAGCAACCCAGAAAGGATCAGCAGGTCCCTGTCCCCCAGGGAGGTCCAGGGGCGCTTCTTTGGTGTTCCAAAAGCGGCTGGACAAAAATACAAGCGCCACCCCTTCCCTTTTCCGCGCAGTGGCTTTGTGTGACATCGACTGTGCGCGCGAACGTTCGCGGGCTCACACACCCCCTTCCACCCAGCTTGCTCGCCACACTGGGTCGGTGCGCGCGACTGAGCACCCTGTGCGCCCTGCGTGCGGGTCCTCCTGGCAGATGGCCGCGCCACCAGGCCTCTGGTCACCCGCCGCGGGGAGCTGCGGAACGACATCCACGCCCCCATTGCCAGAGGCAGGAGTGGCTCTGGAAAGCAGCGCCCAGGTGCCCGGCACAGGTCAGGCAGAGGTCTGGGCCTCAGGAAGGGTAGACAAGGGAGCACAGTGATCCCCACTCGCGGACCCCCTACCCCCAACTTTGCGAGCTGCGGCCGGGGAGGGGACTAAGGCGGCCGGCCTGGCTACTCGGCAGGAAGTTCCCAGGACCGCACTGAGCATGCTCTGGGGGAGTGTGTGCGCGGGTGTCGGCCCTTGCATCCCGCAGCCTCTGCGAACCCGCAGCCGTGGGTGCGCACTGGCTGGATCACGATCAGGCTGACAGTCCCCAAGACGACCCTGGGTTCGAGGGGCCTTTCTGACCTCCCAACCTAGAGCTTCCAATCTCCTTATCCCTCCTGCCCAGGGGCCCGGGGCTAGCCTCCTTCATCTTTCTCCAGACTGGCCCACAGTACAACCCACTCTGCGCTCCCCGGTCCCCAGGAACCCCAGCCCGGCCCACGTCGGCATCCTGACCCCATACGGTTTCAACGCGGTCCCAGCGCCCAAAATGCTAATCTCAGCCTCTCGCCTCCAGCCCGCACACCCAAGTCTTCTCTGGACAGTTCCTTTAAAAAGCCTACAAGCCTCGAAGCTTGGGTAGGGTCTTCCGGGTCCCTGTGGGAGGGGATGTCCGGGGCAGGTGGGGAACAATCCAGGAGCGTCACTTGGTTGCACTCTGGGGTCTTCCCAGCTCAGCCACAGTTAAGACACCCACGCAGCCCCGGGTGTCAGTGCCTGGCCGAGTGCGGATTGCTCCAGATCGCCTTGCGCCCCCCACGCGTCCCCGATGGTCCTCTCTACATGCATCTCCCAGCCAGGATAGCGAGCTCCCACGCTATAGTCCTGACCCTGCAGCAGCTCTTACCTGCTCGCAGGGCAGCAGCAGCAGCAACATCAGTAGCAGTCGGGGTCACTTTCCAGCCGCCGTGCTCTGGAGGGGTTCCAGGAGCAGCCAGGCGCGGGGTCACAGCGCCCCACGAGCCTGCAGCGCGGGTACCTGGGCTGGATCGTACCCCTGGCAGCGGCCGCCACCGCGGGAGCCGCAGGGCCGCCGGGCTAGCGGGCCTCGGCAGGGACGGTCTGCAAACTACCAGCCCTGGCGGGGCCGTGCGCAACGCGTCCACCGACCGCCCCCAAGACGCAAGTAGAGACGTTTCCTCCTGGAGGGAGTGGAGGGGAAATCTGTCCGCGATTTCTTCGAACCCTCCCCTGGTCGACCTCCCCAACTTCTCTCCGCTTCCGAGCTTGCTAGGCTTTCTCAGGCAAAGGGATTCCGGGCGAGGGACGTTCTGCAAATTCCCCGCCCTCCCCGGGCTGAGCGCTCAGCCAATTCGGAACGCCCCAGCTTCTCGGGGACTGTCTGCAAACTATAGACCCTGTGTAAGAGCGCGGCTTCAACCTCTCAATTCCACAGCTCAAGGGGAAACAGGCAAGGAGCTGAGGGAATAGAGGCCATAAATAATATTTTGGCAAAACCCGGGGCAGGGTGAAATTACTAATACAGACGCTGCGTCTTCCACAGTGATGTTGCCTGGGCCTCTTCAGGACAAGGGCCTCCAGCAATGAAGCGAGTGAGGAGATGATAGGCTCAACTATTTAAGGGTCTTGGAAACTTTAATAAATACCCCGAAGCTCCGTCTTCTACTTCGTAGAATAGATTGGCAGCAGCAGTAAGAATTTCTATCCTTTGTCCAAAAAATGATTTTTGTTTGTTTGTGCTTGCCTTTGTGCTGTGATTAAAGGCATACACCGCCATGACCTGTGTCTTTTTTACACTGGTCTCCCTCCCCAGTGTGAGGATTACAAGCATGTACCACCACTCCCCACTCCCATGCCCCCTTGGTATGCATGTAACTGATGACGACCTTGAACTGGTCTTCTTACACTGGTCTCCCTCCCCAGTGTGAGGATTACAAGCATGCACCACCACTCCCCACTCCCATGCCCCCTTGGTTTTTGAGACTCTGAGCAAGCCAGTTATCCAGTTCCATTCAACCACAGCTGTTTCATGAGGTTATTGTGAAGAAGGAATATATGTAAGGTATTTGGCCATAACTGGTACACAGAAAGCACATGGTTTTTAAGATTCAAATATTTTCTTCTCATTTTATGAGCACCCTGGAAGGGCTAGCTGAAAGCTGTGCTGTTGTAAATTCACAAAGAAATAAAACCTGCCCCTGCCCTAAGGCACCACAATGAATGCTGACTATTAAATCCAACCCACCCTCCAGAGGGATAGCCATCCATTTACACTGTGGAGCATTATAGATCGTTGTTAGTTGTTAAGTAGTATCTGGAATGGAGGGAGGGTGGCCTGGTGAATTACCCAGGCATGTAAATGACAGGTTTGGAACCTCAGCAAGCTCCAGTCCTATACCAGTCACTACATCCCATCACCGTATACTTACGGGTTTATGTTCATGCTTTCTTAATTTTGGCTACAGGATTTCTCCAGCCCTGCTTCATGGACCTCCTCAGGGGTCTTCAGTCCTGGGCTAAGTTTGCCCCAATTTGTTGCCCAGCCCCTCTCCAGCAGAATCATTTAAAAACTGAAGATCACAGAATTTTTAACTCTAGAAATAATTTAGTTCATCTTCTGCATTCTGTGACAGAGCCCTCAGGGCCACACAGGTGGTAAGGAAGGGCTTTAGACTCCAGGGCCTTCACAGCAGACCTGTGGTAGCTCCTGCCACAAATGCAAACAGCTGAAATCAATCCTACCTTAAACATCCACCTGGAGAAAAAGAGCTTGGCTACTTCCAGATCCAATGAGCCTCAGGGTAGCAGTCAGAAGTGGCCTAGGAACAGGTGGAAATCTGCGTGGGCAGGACGAAGCCACTTGCTTAAGAACGGACCTCTCACTGAATCCATAGGAACATTCTAAAGCACTGAATTCCTCTCACTCCCTTGGAAGAAAATGTCTCAAGAAGAATAGTGACATCTGGTGGCCAGGTCTTTCTGAACTGGAGATTGATCAGACAGATTCTAATGATATTCTAGTCCAATCATGTCTTTGGGAGAAATTAATATTGCCTCGTAATTGTTTTTCCCACAGAGTAAAGGTTATAATTTATTGGGACTGGGAGATAGTTTGGTCAGTAAGGTGCTTGCTGAATGAATACAAAGACCAGTGGCCAGAACCTATGTAAAAAAGCCAGGCTTCAGAGCTAAAAAGACAACTCTGGTTAAAAGCACTTACTACTCTTACAAAGGACCCAGGTTCAGTTTACCCAGGCTTACTGATGGCATGGGTGAAAGAATGTGGATGACCCCCAAGCAGCTACACTATTGAAAAGTTTCACCCTAGCCTGTGTGACAATTTTCCCATAGCTGTGTAGATGGAGGTCACCCTTTAGTTAAAATTCCACAGTATATATTCTAGCATCTCCCAAGACTACAGGGCCACATGCAATTAGGGCTGAATTCCATATATTCTAGCTTTCTTTTGTTGCTGAAACAATTGCCATGACCAAAAGCGACTTGGGGAGGAGGAAGAAAGAGCTTATTTGGCTAACACTTCCAGGTCACAGTCCACCATTGAGGGAAGTCAGGGCAGGAGCTTGAGGCAAGAACCACGCCGCTTTCTGGTTCCATCACAGACCAATCTTAGCTAGCTTTCTTAATCGCTCAGGATCACCTACCCAGGGATGGTACCTCCCACAGTGAGGTGGGCCCTTCTACATCAATTAGCAATGAAGAGACTGCCCAACAAACATCCACAGGTCAACATTATCTAGGAAATTCCTCAGTTGAGGGCTCTTCTCCCCATGTGACTCTAGGTTGTATCCAATTGACAATAAAAACCAAGCAGTGCAACATACATATATAAATGCATACATACTACTTGGAGGTGCAGGAAAAGTGCCTGGACACTCAGGTAAGAATTCAGTGACCTTCCCCACTCCTCCTTCTATAAGGACAGTCAACAGGTGTGATCTCAGGGTCGCTTACAAGGAGTTACGGCTGCTCTGGTGATGATGACTAGTATGCTCAGTGGGTAGCACACTACAGCAGGGTATCAGCTATGAAGGATGAAGGATGTTTGGGATTCTTTCATATCATTACTAGTGACTGTTGCCAAGTGTTTTTGAATTATATTACTCCACATCTGCCCATATATTTGTCACAGGTGCCATATGGTAGATAATTGCTCAGTTATAAATATGGTAAACACACCTCTGTCCATACAATCAAGTTCATTGTTTCCCAACCTCTCTATGTGAATTGTGTTGACTGTCTTAACACTTCATGAGGCAGAGCTCACTATATCCATTTTGTAGACTTAGAAAAGGGAAATAATATACCCACTCATAAGCACTATTGCAAAGGATCTGAGCCAGGCTTGAATCCAAAGTCAGCCTGACTCCAAAGACCTGCGTCTTCTATGTCCTGCTGCCTACTCTAGACAACCAGGGAAAAGTGAAGACCAGAGCAGAAACTACTCTAAGGAACTCATTAAATACTAAAGAGAATATTGAGGTAGTATACATAAACTACATGTCTGGGCCTATTCAAATTACAAGCGAATGATAAGCAACAAATATCAATTTTGTTCATAAAACTTATAAAGCAGGATCCCGTGTGGTTCAGTCTTAGACTAGGACTTTGTGAAACAAATGGTTTTGTGCTTGGACTTGAGCTGTCTTCCCAGCTGGGAGGATTATTCACTATGTACTTGGGGTAGAAGGCAAAGCCCCTGAAGGTAAAGGTGGCTGGTTGAGTTTTCAGGGCAGGGTTGCCAGCCAGTGGTACCCGGTAACTGATCTGCGTGTGTTAGTGTACGGTAGGATGTTGTGATGGCAGGACTGTCCCCTTTCCAGTGCTGTGATAGGGGTTCAGGAAGTACTTCTGATTCTCAGCAACCAGCTGAGCCAGACTGTTCATCATTTGAATAAATTTCTTTTCCCCTTAAATCGGTTTGAATAAGTTTCAGTTGTTTCTAATTAAGTAGCTGGCTGATAGACATTAGAATCAAGTAGTATAAAACCTTAGGAAACAAAAGAATTTAGGAATGGGTCATCTAGTTTCATTAAAGCTGAGAACTGAGAACTGGTAGAAAGGCTTTTGAGGGCCAGCAAAGTAGCTCAATGGTACAGTGTTTTACTAGCATACATGAAGTCCTGGGTTTGAGTCTCAGAACCCAATAGAAAAGCAAAACAGAATTAAAGGTTTTTTAATGTAACCTATAGAATAGCAAAATTTTATTAAATTCATGGTTGGTAATGTAGCTCAGTGGTAAAGTAAATGTAAGGCTCTGGGTTCAATCCCCAGTACCATCACCACACACACAAAAAAATCATTAAATTCTAAATTGATTTCATCTAGAATAAAACACCCAAATAAGTTTTAGGAAGACCAAGCAGAAGCTAAGGGAGAGAGGTGGTTATGTTTTATGGGGTTGGACAGCTCCAAGAAAGAATAATGGGGGCTGGAGAGATTGCTCAGCGATTAAGAATACTGACTGCTCTCACAGAGGACCCAGATTTCAGTCCCCAGCACCCACATGGCAGGTAACACCCATCCCTAACTCTAGTTACAGGGGATCTGACACACTCTTCTGGCCTCTGCAGGCATCAAATGTATGTGGTGCACTTACATATATGCAGGCAAAACACTCATGCATATAAAATAAAAATTAAAGAAAGAGATGATAGATAGATGGATAGATAGACAGACAGATAGATAGATAGATAGATAGATAGATGAATGGGGCCAATGAGATGGTGGGTAAAGGCACGTACTGCCAAACCTGACAACCTGAGTTCAAGTCCAAGTACCCACAAGGCAGAAGAGAACCAACTCCTACAAGTTGTCCTTGAATCTCCAAGCTCTCTCTCTCTCTCTCTCTCTCTCTCTGAGACACAAATAAATGTAAAAAAATTATAAAAAGAAAGAGTAAAGATCTTTAAGCCCTGAATTTTAGGTCAAACTACATATGGAACAGGGGTGCTATGATCTAAACAGAGAAAAATAACATATTTTTTAGCAGCTGCACATCAAGATACCTGAGAAACAAAACCAAGTTTGATCTTGTGAGTTGCTGTCTTACAAAGTCGCCTGTGCTTATGGCCTAATCATATTCTTATCTTAAAACAAGGGCACTAATTAGAACAGAATATGAAACACGTGGGAGAATAACAGGTGATTGGATGGACTCCATGCACCTCAAACCCTACTTGGGCTTCCCTGGTCAAATGAAGGCAATGACGAACTCTGTGTATATGTTCCTGTGTGCACAGGAGCTGGTGCATGGGGATGCATATGTGTATGTGTATGCATAGAGGCCAGAGGACAGCCTTGGCTGTCTTTCCTTACTCTGATTCCTCAGTCATCTTCCATCTCTTACTGACCTGGAACTCTCCAAATAGGCTAGGCTGGCTGGCCAGTGAGCCCTGGGGATCT